ATTCCTTGAAATTAGGATATAAACCAGAATTTTGCAACATGACTTTCCATCTTTCTTTAGTCACTCTATGTCAAGGACCCAGTAGGTGCTTGAAAACTTATTAAGGAACACAGATACTCCCTTTAAATCAGGACTGTGACTGTGTAGATGAGCAACACACAGTGTCCTCTGTTGTAAAATCGAAAATGTTGTAACTGGTCACTTTAGTCCCCGTTCTTCTCAACATCCCTCAAAATCGTCCAGACGGTCTTTAAAAAGCAAAAGGTGATTCAGAGAAAACTCTGTAACCTATGGGATCGATGAGTCAGATTGCGGGGAAAAACCTGACTCGGTCCGGGTGGACTCCATTCTTCACATCAATCTTCTTCCGCAGGCTCAGCCGGTATGAGGTCAGGAGTTCCAGGAGCTGAAATAACGCAGGGGGCATGGATCCAACACTTACTCATACCGAGTGGAAGAAATCTGAGAGACTGAGGGAGATAACGGGTTGTGTGTGCTAGGGATGTGGCTGCTGATGCAGGGGAAAAGGGTAGCCAGGATGTAGGTTTGACTACTGACTCTGCTCAGAGTGGGGTCGCAGGAGATGCCGTCGAAATCTTGCTGACACAACCATCGCCAGTTTTCAGAAAGAAACTCTAACTGAAAAGAAAAAAGAAAGTTTGCAGTCCCTTTGTTTTAGTAATACCATCACACCTTGCACCTCCTGGTGGCTTTGCAAAAGTTTTGAAGGATTACCATGGTGGTGAATGATTCTTCTGGCCCAGTATTGGCCGAACTAGCAAGGTGTGAAACCTCTAGTTTGCATGTACAACAGAAGGTGTTTTACAGACAGTGGCAGAGAGATTTCTCTATGAAATTGAGAAGACTGGAAAAGGTCAGAAAAGGATGTGCTATTGGAGTGACAGTATTCTAAATCAGAGACTCCTGTGTCCCTGAGTAAAAACCCAAGTGTGGCTGATTCATTTCCCATGTGGGATGCCAAGACCAGATGTGCAATCTACAGAAATGCCCAATGAAGATGAGACACTTTAGAAAAACTGTCAGGAGTTTGAAGAAGGGGACAGTAGGGCATCAGGTGGAGTAGTGTGGGTTGTTCTGGGTTCGGTGTCCTGGCACATTGTGTGCTTTGAGTGCTGGTGACGTCAAGAGAGCTGGAAGGCCTAGTCCAGGATCCCACAGCTTTTATTCTCAGTAAAGGAATCTATAGCTACTCCCTCACCAATCCCATAGGGAAAAACAACCCGCAAACCCAACTGCTATTGGATTTATCTATTCCAATTGCATATCTAACATAGAAATTAGAAATGTGTTCAGCAAGTTCTAGTAGATATCGATCAACTAGGAAAAGGGGGTTTTAGATCCATTAGCTAGGTGAATGACTCAAAACAAGTCACTATTTATATTTCTGGGTCTTCATGTAAATTGGAGGGATAGGACATTGGCAGCTTCTGCAATTCCACAATTCTGGGTTTCACCACGACACCAAGTTATCAGAGCTTGAGTTTTAGATACGCAGTTTCCAATCTGAACATTTGGCCAAGTTGTAGGCATAGCTTTAATATGTATCTTTTATCCCTAATAGGAACCCTCAACTGAACGAACAGTTGGAGTATAGACAAGTTCTTTAAAATATTTATTTATTTATTTATTTATTTATTTATTTATTTATTTATTTATTGGGGAGTAGAGCTAGGGACACACCGTGGTGTGCCCGTGAAGACCAGAGGACAATTTGCAAAAACTGACTCTCTTCCTCCACTCTGTGGGCACCAAGATTTGAACTCAGGCATTCAGGCTTGGCGCCAAGCACCTTTACCCACAGAGCCACCTTGTCTGCTCCCCATTTTTCTTAATTCTTCTCTCCCAGTACTGTATTCCCCTGGGAAATAATTGAGATTGTAGGTAGAACTAACTTTGGCTTTATTCCAGAAAATTTCCAATATTGCTTCTAGAGACTCAAAGTTTGGCTCTTGGTGTCTGGGAGGCAGGGAACGGCGGCAGCATGCCTGACATCATTGCATGCTGCCTGACATCATTGCATGCTGCCTGGCATCATTGCAGACATGATTTGGCTTGTAACACTCTGCCTTCCTTAAGGATTTTCTCAGGTCTGCATTCCCTTTGGAGAGAGCAATCACTGTTGTCTGCACACTCGTCTCTTGTTGTGTGGGAGCCTTTGATCTCACAGATTGATTTGGACTTTGTTCTTTTTGAAGACAACTCTGTAATGATCAGTTTACTTTTTATTTTGTAATTGAAAATTGTAAATCTTTTCTTTTGCTTCATTAATTGCACATTTGTATAGTTTAATTATTATTTTTCTTCTTCTCATGGATCACGGTGGGAAGGGGAATGGAGGAGATCTCCTGAGTAAACTGGGAAGGGGGGGGTCAGTAAAGGGAAGGGGATGCGGGAGGGGAACATGATGGAAGGGTGAGGAAGGATGGGGCGGGAGAGCAAGGAAAGAGATGTCTCAACAGAGGGAGCCATTACAGGGAGAGATCCGTTGCTAGGGAAATTCCCAGGAATCCACAAGGATGACCCCAGCTACGACCCCTAGCAGTAGTGGAGAGGATGCCTGGACTGGCCTTCCCCTGTAATCAGATTGGTGACTACCCTAATTAACATCACAGAACCTACATCTAGTAACTGATAGAAGCAGATGTACATCCAAGCCCCAGGCCCAGCTCCAGGAGGAGTCCAGTGGAAGGCAGGGACCAGGAATTATATGAGCAAGGGGGCTCAAGATCATGGCAGTGAAACCCACAGAGACAGTTGACCTGAACTTGAGGGATCTCACAGACTCCAGATCAACAGCTGGGGATACTGCATGGGACTGAACCAGGCCCGCTGCATGTGTGTGATAGTTTTGTATAGCCTGATGTGTGTGTGGGACCCCTGGCAGTGGAAGCAGGATCTGTCTATCCCTAGTGTATGAGCTGACTTTTTGAAGCCCATTCCATATGGTGGGATGCCTTGCTGAGCCTTGATTCAGGGAGGCTTGGTTCTGCCTCAACTCAATGTACCATGGGAGGCCTTACCCTTTCTGAGGAGTGGATGAGGGTGGGTTGAAGGGAGGTAGGGGAGGTGGAGGGAAAAGGAGGGAGGGGGAACTGTGGTTGGTATTAAATATATATATATATTCCAATATATCCTTTCCCCTTCCCAATCTTCCCTTAGGTCAGAATCCACCCCCTTTCCGTCTCTCATTAAAAAAGGACAGGCTTCTAGGAAATAACAACCAAACATGACAAAATAAAATATAATAAACTGAAACAAAAAAAAATCATCACATCAAGGTTGGACAGGGCAACCCAACAGAACAAAAGTAGCCTCAAGAGAAGGCGCAAGAATCAGGGACCTGCTCGTTCACATGCTCAGGGGTGCGATAAAAATGCTAAACAAAAAGCCGTAATAATATATGTGCAAAGGTACAGACCCATGCAGGCCCTGTGATTTGCAGCTGGAGGTTTGGTGAAGAACTCAAGAAGATGATGACTTCTCATCTACACCAAGATAACTGGGTACCACTCTGAGGTGCACAGGTTGGGGAAAGGGGAAACACAAGGTCAAAGGAACTCTACGAACAAGATGCAGGTTGTTATTAAGGAACCAGCTATCTACCCAGCATCCCCATATAACAACTGATAACTTTTATTGAGCAGCTGCTGTGAATTCCCACCACTTCCCATGGATCATCTGATGGAACTTTTTGGCTGAAGTCTGATGGGGTGTACCAGCATTAAGCTCACTGTACAATGAAGAAGCCACGTCACCAATCATAAATATGCTCACACAAGATCCCACAGGTAGAATGTGCAGGGCTGGGTCTGTACCCACAACCACGGTAGCCTAATAATGTATACAGGGAAGGCAGATATACAGCTAGCTGAGTTGGAACCAAAGAGCAGAGGGTCTCTTCTGCCATCCTGAAGGATTGTCTCTCACAGAGACATTGACAAATAAGAAAGAGGAATTTTCTTGTTAGAACTTGAGGGGAAAAACAGTTCTCAGTCATTAATGGTTATTTGGGGCAAGTGTGTGTCTAGTGCTGGACTATTTAGTGGGGTGGCCTGAGCCACATGTAGGCATGGGCATTAGGACTATGGCTAGTCCCAAAGCGATTTCTGTGTGTATAAGATGTACACCAGGCTTTAAAGATGTCCTGGCCAAGGATGGAGACTCATTCATCATGTACCTGGATGCATGTTACCTTAGATACGTTGATTGAAATATGATATTTAAGAAGTTATTCTTGCATTTTTACTTTTATTAATGGAGAAACTAGTCAGTTATATTTTATCTATGTTGCCTGCATTTTATTCCTTCTGGGCAGTTTAACTTTGAGTGATCTTGAACTTATGGTAGGTATTTTACTAATCAATTCTGATGAAGGACTTCCTAGCCACAATGGTTAATTAATTGTATGCTTTCCTTGCTTTCTGGTCATTTGCAAGGAAACTTTAAAGAAGGCTTCCCCTTTGCAGGGGTTTGAGAAGCAAGAGTTTCCTTTCTCAGCTGTTCCCAACCACAAATGCTCAACCTGCTGTGATCTGTGGACGAGGAATTCACATTACAAGGGCAAGAGAGGGGAGACATATAAGCAATTTCCAGCCTCGAATGGTGTGAAGTAAAAGTGATTTCAGCAGATCCCACAAGAATGGCACAGGTGGGCACAGTGGGTCTGGCTCATCGTCAGAGAGCCCAAGGAGTCGAAAGGAAACTCTAGCTACAACCCTGACATGCCACAAAACCAGAGCTATAATGCAAAGTAACTAGCGTCCCCAACTATCTGTCACCATCTCATCTTAAAAAATGTGTGAAAATACGTAATCCTGAGGAGCCTTCAATTAGGTATAAATACTGGCAGAAAGGGAGGTGCAGGCTATAGGTTCCATCGGCCCATCAGCTACCACAGAAGACGAATCAGCCGAGTCCTTTGGACCCGTTGACTTAACTCGGGTGCTCCGGACTTGGACAGCATCGGTCTGCTTGAGACAATGAACGCGACACGTTGCGTCTTGGCTTTGTTGCTCTGCCTCACCCAGGCTATGTCTGGCTGCTACGGCCAGGGCACACTCATTGAAGAAATAGAAAACCTGAAGGAATATTTTGTAAGTATGACCTTTTAATAATGCTCGTAGTTGAAAATGACTGATGTTGACTTCTGCCGCCAACACGACGCAGCCGCCTCTCGTCCTCAGTCATTTGGAGAAGATGGGGTGCTATGTTGCTATTAGCCGGTGATGTGCTTATTGACTCAATGATTTTGATACTGATTTAACTCTGTTCGATTTGTTGTAGAGACTCACAGGGTATTTACAAATCTCCCCAAAGATAGGAATACTATGAGTATGAGGTACAAACATACTTAACATTTTGTGATTTTTTTTTTTTTTTTTTGTCATTTAGTCATATTAGGAAGCATTCTTACCCTCATGGCTGGCTGTTCATTTCTCATTCCTCAGACTATTATGAAAGTGATAGTGAGAGATGAATATTGCCATTAAAAACACCCAGGGAAACAACCTATCGTTTAGAAGTAACAGTTCTGCTTAAGAACTGGCCCCTGCTTTGCTTTTCTCTGAAGATCAACTTTGAAATTCTACTATAAATGAATTATCTGTCACTGAAGCCAGCCACTTACAGAGGTCTGAGAGGGTCATGTTTCTTGAGTTTTATGTTTTTGTTTTTTGTTTGTTTGTTTTTCTTTTGTCAATTTCCTTTTGAATTAACTAAGGTTAACAAAAATAATTTTTATTTTAATCTTAAAATTTTATACCTTGTCCTGAATGCCTGCCATTACACACATAGCTATTATAATAATGCTCAAGCATCTGAAGGCAATTTTATCCTCACAGTGAAAATCAAGCTGACTCACACACACATGTGCTTGGTTGGAGCTATCTTTTAAAGCAGTGATTAACAGTGCAAAGAGATGTTTCAGAACCCTGAGCCATAAGGGGGCAGTGTGCACACTGGGATTAATCTGATGATTTTTTTTTTTCTTCACTCTCTTAATTTGAGAGTAATTTTCTTTAGCTCATTGCAGCTATTTGAAGTGCTTGAAATCTCAGAAATCTCATCATCATCTTTCCTTTTTTTTTCTTTTCTTTTCTTTCTTTCTTTTTTTTTTTTTTTTTTTTTTTTTTTTTTTTGAGCTTACTTGTGGCCTTACAATTCAAGAATAGGCTAGAAGGAACTAAAGCTAAAAGAATGTAAAATCGTCTTTGGCTAAATCTGACGTGCAATCTTTTGGGGATGCTTGCTAGAAGTAAATGAAAGGGCCGGGAAGGAAATCAGTGACTATTGTTAGCACCGAATTTGAGGAAACACGATGGATATTTTTAGGGCAGTTAGTGAACTAATTATAAATAAAATTTCCTCTTTTCCTCAGAACTCAAGTAGCTTAGATGTCGGGAATGGAGGGGACCTCCTCTTTAATATCTTGATGAACTGGCAGAAGGTAAGCTGAATGTTCACTTTTTGCCTCATTTTCCCCGTGCTGTTTCTAATGGACCAGGTCCCATCAGGCTCTCTTTGTGATTTTTGTTTCCCAAGGACGGTGACACAAAAATTATTGAGAGCCAGATTGTCTCCTTTTACTTCAAACTCTTTGAAGCCCTGAAGGGCAACCAGGCCATCCAGAGGAGCATAGACACCATCAAGGCAGACCTGTTTGTTAAATTCTTCAACAGCAGTATGGAGAAACTCAATGACTTCGTGAAGCTCACGAAGATTCCGGTGAGGGCGATTTTGCAGAATATTGTATTAATGTTTTTTTTTTTTCCTTTGTTTGCGCTATATTGAACTATCAGATGGTAGAAGTTGATAAAGCTAGGGGATGAGCCCCTGTCTGAGATGCTTCCTCACCATGGGCATGCTGGGAAGGACTTGGTCTACTTTGGAAAAACACAGACTTTGAAACCATTGCCCACATGATGAGTAAATGCCCTGAGGAGGAAGTAGCCGAGGGGAGCAGCGAGCAGAGCTCTTGCGGTCCCTTGGTGTGGGATGGAAAGTCTCGTCTCGCTTAGGACGGGAGGTTGTGTGTTAGTGGAAATTGTAGTAGGAGGCAGTGAGAGAAGCCTTGTGTCCTCCTCCTCCCAGCCAGGCCACCAGGGACTGTGACTTTAATATGACTCACATGCCCAGCTGGCTGGGCTTCCTGCTTCCTCATCTTGATAGGAACCAGCTGGGATCACTACATTTCTTTAATCTCTTTTTACCAAAACCAAAACAAGACCTGCACAGTGTCATAGGTAGAAAGTGAGGGTCAGAGAAGAGGAAATACTGGAGTTCCCGAGAGGCACCTGGGTGCCCTTGGTCTCTCCTTGGCCTCTCACACTATGCAGGGCAAATTGTTTTCAGGGGAAGCAACGGGAGACGTACTTGGAAAGGATTGCTTTGTGGCGCTTATGAAAGTCTTGTTCAGTTAACTTTCCTACACAGGGATATTCCAGCTATCCCACGTTGGGCATCTTAGTGTGAAACCATCCTAAGCCTTTAAATTATGCCTTCCAGAATCTGCAAGATAACTCAAAAGCATAAGGCAAACCTATTTTTTTTTCTAAATTTTATCCAGAAGGCAAAGACATTCATTCTAAAGCCTTAGGCTCTGATGGTAAACAGGCTCAATCGAAAGGGAGAGCTGTCTGTCTTGTGTTTTGCAGCTTCTACCATGACTCATGCTCTGTAGCAGGTGCTGGAGGATGGTAGCATCTCCTAGCCTATCAACTACAGATGGTTGAAGTACTCATTCCTAACTCATTCCCATTTAGGGCTTGCTGTTCCACTCTGGCTAAGTCTCTTGGATTCTTGGCTGTGTTTTGAAAACTGGGAACTATAAATTTGTCTTCATAGCATACAGCTGGTAGAAGCCTGTTAACTCCTAAGGCCTTGGTTTTATCTCTCTGGAAGCCCTGGGTGTTGAATTTCATATGGGTGATTTTGAGCAAGCTCTTAACTCTTGTCCTATATTGTTGCATTGTTCACACATTTTAGGAACACACACTCACACACACACTCACACACATACACACACACTCACACACATACACACACACTCTCACACAACACACTCACACACACACTCACACACAGATAATCGTTAGTAACTAGTCTTATGTCCTATAAGTATCTGAATCCTTGGAAATGTGGCAAGGATGTCAGAGTATTTCCAGCATTAGAAAAATCAAACAAAGCCAGGTAACAGTGAGTAGTCTTCATTTTATTAAGCATGAAGCTGTCCACGTGGCTCTCCTGCTTCCAATGGAGAAGTTGTTTAAGTAGATGCATGAACGATATAGAAGGCAGAGGACAGGAAACACTGCAAGTGTTCATTGTCAGCAAAGTGATTATTACTAATCTGACCATGATTGGTGTTTATTTTTAATCCCATTCTAGACTTGATCACAATGACCTGGTCTGGGAGAAATCTAAAATCGTGTTTTTCATTTGTTTTGGACTTTATTTTTCCTTTTCCACTTAGTACTCAGCTTGTGTTGGTGGTTCTCAAGCTTAGGCTGCTGTCAGAATCTCTGGAGGGAACTTAGCTTCCAACAGCATGGGTCTCCTTCCTGCACGTGGGTCTTTGGGTTCCTTGGTCGATCTTGAAAGCATTCTGCTATTCCAAGGGGAGCATTGGCCCATAGGAACGTGTTTCTGTATGGATAGAAAGGCCGAGTCAAAGCATAACGTGGTAGACTCTGTGGGTGAAGAGGTCACTCACTGGGGCTCTTCACAAGGATGCAACTTCTAGAGGTCAGGTGCCTGGTTCCAGTTTAGGGTTACTGTGAACTCACTCCCACCCCATTCCGCCCAGGAGTCCGGTTAGCACTCCATTTTGAGGTTTCTGTAGCGGTTAAAGATAGAAATGTGGTGTAACTCACCCCATCCCTATGTACAATCTAAGTTTTTAATGACCCTTTTGACTTAACTGCTAAAGACGTGATTATTACAAATGAGAGGAATATGTTGCTATGCGGAATTGTTCTTCTTAAAAGGGATATTCCCATTTTCACGGATCACGATCTTAAAAGAAAAAATATCCCAATGGTTTCCTTGCTTGGAGTTAATTTCATTTCCCCCCCACCCCAACAGGTAAATGACCCCCAGGTCCAGCGCAAAGCCATCAATGAACTCCTGAGTGTGATGCCCCACCTGTCACCAAAACTTAGCCTAAGGAAACGGAAAAGGAGCCGGTGCTGTTTCGGGGGTGGAAATCGTCCCGTTAAGAATAACCCTGCCAGCAGCGCTATTTGAATTTTAAATCTTAAACTTATTTATTAATATTTAACATTATTTATATGGAAAGTATATTTTTTAGACTCACCAACCGAAGAAGTATTTATAATAACGACTTTTCTATGATGGAAATGAATTTTTAATTAATATATATGTTATTTATAATCTTCATATCCTCCCCAATCCCACCTGACCATGTATCCTTTCTGACTGATTAACCAAGACTGTGCGATTAAAATGTTGTATCTCAGGGGCCAGTCAACCAGTTGACTGGACAGACTGTAGGTGGTACACTTAATTTACTTGACAACGAAGGGCCCTAACAGCTGTAGTGACACCAGGAATCGCGGCTGTTGGGAGGGCGCATGCCTACACTCTGAGCCAGCCCTTCAATAGCGAGTCAGTCAGCACTTCAGCAAAGTGTCCCTGCAGGAGAACAGGGTCTCCCACCTGGTGCTTCTGAATACTGTTGAAAGCTGTGACTGCACCCAAATGGCAAATAACTCACTTATTTGTAGTTTACCGCTGTCTAAAGCATATGAATAAAGTGCACTTTCACAACTATGTATGCCGTGTCGGACTCCTTCTAAGAGGCGGCCCGGGCGAATGAGCCACCTATGCATGGGATGAATGGGTAGGAGATAAGCCGTTTTTTTAGCGGTGGGAATCTTGGAGCTGCATTAGGCCCCATCAAGAGTGTGGTGCTTTCCTCTCCTGGCAATTTGCTGGTCCTGTCGCGCCCCCCCCCCCCCCCACTGCTCTAGCTGGCAGCTGTTAGAACTTTCTTTCAAAGATGCATGCCTAATTGCATCACCATTCATCTTAGCCTGCTTGCAGTGGGAAGTGTCCGAACTGCTTAGCTTGGCATTTGAATCCAATCTCTCTTGTACACCGCCGCGCTAGCATCCCCTCCCACACTCACTGCAGGCAAATGCCATTGCTGTGTGTCTTAGCGTTTCTATTGCTATGGAAAAAGAAATATCACCAGCCAAAGCAAGCTGGGAGGGAAAGTGTTTATTTCCCCCCTTAGATTATAGCGCTGAGGGAAGCCAGGGCAGGAACTCAAGGCAGGAACCCGGAGGCAGGATCTGAAGCAGATGCCGTGCAGAACATTGCCCACTGGATGGCTTCTCATGGTTTGCTCAGCCTGCTTTCTTATACAACTCAGGACCAGCTGTCCAGGAATGGCACTGTGCCCTCTGTAGGCTGTGGGCTGGGCTCATCTACATCCGTCATTAAGAAAAATGCCCTACAGACTTGCTTACAGGCAGTGTAATAGAGGAATTTTCTCCCATGTTCGTTCCTCTTCCTAGGTCACAGCTTGTGCAAGTTGACTAACGAATAGACACAGTGTTGCAGAATTTTAGCTCTAGGGAGAGAAGCCTGGGCTGGAACCAAGATTGGGCCATTGTAAGCAATGTGACACCTGATAACTTCTTCATATTTTCTAATCTTTTATTCACCTATTTGGAAAAGAGGAATAGCTAAACATGGTTCTTCCTTATAATATTGTGTGTGAATTCATTCTTTCACGTAATTGCATTTTTTTTTGTGTGTGTGTGGTACCTGATAAGTGTCTAGGTAGTGAGATACTTTAGTTCACTAAAAACACACAGGGATCCCCAAACTTGGATAATTTGAGCAACTAGGAAATAGACAACGAACAAAATGCATTATATTCACTCAAGTTGCATGGTGTTTTGAAAATGCTTGTTGGTATGGAAAAATAAAGTAGAGCAGGATGGAGGAAATCGACTCTCAATGGGATGAAGTAGGTAGTGCAGAGGTTTAAAAAGAGTGATTATAGTTTCCTAACCAAGGAAAAACCAATTGAGGAGGAATTTGCAAGGGTGATACCTATTTAGATTCCAGGCAAGATAAATATCCTTGCAAAGGCTTTGGAGTGAAGATTCCCTGGGCATGAAAGAAGAAACAGCAGACCCGCAGGACAGTCCAAAAAGATGGAGGAAGGGACAGAAATCCCCAAGGGAGATAAAGTACAAGGAAACTCAAGATGTAATGACTTGGATGTGCTCTGGATTGTGAGTTCCAGAAGACCCTCTGAGTTGGCATAAGATGGTCTTACAATGTGCTATGAACTTGGACATGTAATCACTTACATAAACAAGAATAATAGATATAATGAGATGATCTCTACCGGCTTCAGGACACACAGTGGTGACAAGATTAGAAATGTCAAGGGGCACTGGGTATCAGGAGCTCCCTTCTCAGTCTTAGTGCTTTTCCTTGCCTTCCCACACAAGCGTGAAACAGTTTGTGTCAAGAGGCCATTTTTAGTTCTTGGCAATAATCAGTGGCTATTGTAATCAGTACAAGGTAACTAAGCAACAGTGCCTGCAACCTGCATTCAAAACTTTAAAATCTTGGATGAGGCAAGAAGGAAAAAAAGTTAGGATAATGTCGGCAGGGCTGTGACTGACGAAATGCTGCTGACTAGATATTAACTGATGGGTGCAGACTTTAACTGCAGTTGGAAAGTTGTCATGAGATGGTTTGATCTGGACCACAGAGACGGATGATATCTATGGGGAAGGGGTTAGGATTTCTCCAGGTCCTTCATTTTGAGATGTGATTAATCACACAATAGAAAGGGAAGCATTAGGGGTGCCAGTCTGTGACTAGGTTAATTCTTTTCCCTGAGTGATGATGGTGTGAGTTGGAGCCAGACACTGAGACATAGAGAGCAGTGATGGGAGATGTCATTCTGTAAATATGTTTCTCATACTGGTTAATGAGTAAAGCACTGTTGGCCAATAGGAAAGCAAGAGAGGAGGGACTAGGAGACGGGGAGGAAACAGGAAGTAGTAAGGAGGAGTCAGCATGGGGCTGGCGCGGCGGTGGGACAAGACCAGGCGGCGGGAGGAAAAACCGTACGCGTTACAGAGCAGTACTGTATTATGTGGTGGGATGGTAGCAGGGGGTGGGGCAGCAGGGGGTGGGGCAGCAGGGATTGGGGTATCAGGGGGTGGGGTAGCAGGGATTGAGGTAGCAGGGATTGGGGTAGCAGGGATTGGGGCAGCAGGGATTGGGGTAGCAGGGGGTGGGGTAGCAGGGATTGGGGTATTAAGGATTGGGGTAGCTGGGATTGGGGTATCAGGAGGTGGGGCAGCAGGGATTGGGGCAGCAGGGATTGGGGCAGCAGGGATTGGGGTATTAAGGATTGGGGTAGCTGGGATTGGGGTAGCAGGGATTGGAGTATCAGGGGGTGGGGTAGCAGGGATTGGGGTATTAAGGATTGGGGTAGCTGGGATTGGGGTAGCAGGGATTGGAGTATCAGGGGGTGGGGTAGCAGGGATTGGGGTATTAAGGATTGGAGTAGCTGGGGTTGGGGTAGCAGGATTGGGGTAGCAGGGATTGGGGTAGCAGGGATTGGGGTAGCTGGGATTGGGGTAGGGAATATCCTTCAGTAGAATTTGAGACTGGCCTGTTGTGCAGTTGTCAATAATTCGCTCTGCGTCATTGTCTTTCTTTGATGTTCATATTTAGTCTCAGGGGTTTATAGGATTCAGAAGGGGTGGACTATATTTTGTAATAGGGCAGATGAGAGTGACAGTTATTCTTGTCCTATGTTAGCAGGGATGAGCATCTCCCTCGGCCTGGGATTCAGTCCCGCTAGTTAGTAGACGCTGCTGGTCTCAGTTGTTACAATGACCCAGTTGTCAGTCTGTCCTATGACCTCTGACCCCAATGTTGATGTGTGGGGTCTGTTTTTTAGATGTAACCAAGTCCAAAAGTTTAACTTTCTAAAACAACACACTTATCCCTAAGCACATGTGATTGATAACATAGGCAGGAAGTACAGCATCGGTATTTACTGGGAGAAAGCCAATGTAATCTCTCATTGTGCTTGGCTGCCTTGGATAGGGCTTCATTTGGTCAGATGGTTACAGAGGGTTAAAGATGGAAGTGCCAACCCCACGTGAGTTACAGCTGTAAAGCCACATTAGAGGCCCCGATGGCCTGGGTATGGCCACTTCAAATGCAGGATTTGTGACAACAAAATATCAAATGGTACTGATGAGCAACTGGGTTATGTGCTGTGGTAGGGTTCAGCAAAACAGACTTTTGCCAGTGGCAAACCTTTAGGGATATCATTTACTGTCTTCAAATCTCACTCTCCTCCTATCCAAAGTAGAAAGTCACAGGTCAGTCATGAGAATTACTTAAGAAAAATGTTGGAAAATTGCTTTGAAAAAAGACAATGCTCAATAAATTATTCCTATAATTATTATTGTTATATAGAAATATTTGTTGAGTGAATTAATGAATCACTGTCATGATATGACAAAGTCTTGTTAGTTTTCCTTTAAAAAAAATAGTATAAATTGAGGTTGGAGAATGGCTCAGTGGTTAAGAGTGCTTTTCCCTTACATTCAGCCACACTGAACCTCTTAGAAGAGAAAGTGGGAAGTAACCTTGAATGCATAGGCACAGGAGACCACTTCCTGAACACAACGCTAATAGCACAGACTCTGAAATTGCCAATAAACAAATGGGACATCCTGAAACTAAGAAGTTTCAGTAGGGCAAAGGACACAGTCAACAAGACAAAACATAGCAGCCCACAGAATGAGAAAAGATATTCACCAGTCCCACATCTGACAGAGGGCTGGTCTCCAAAATATTTGAAGAACTCAAGAAACTAGTCACCAAAACACCAAATAATCCAATTTAAAAATGGACTACAGGTCTAAATAGAGAATTCTCAACCAAGGAATCTCAGATGGCTGAAAGGCACTTAAGAAAGTGCTCAACATTCTTAGTCATCAGGGAAATGCAAATCAAAACAACTCTGAGATACCATCTTACTCCTGTCAGAATGGCTGAGATCAAAACACCACTGACAGCTTATGCTGGAGAGGATGTGGAGAAAGGGAAACACTCCTCCATTGCTGGTGGGAGTGCAAACTTGTACAGACACTTTGGAAATAAGTATGGTGGTTTCTCAGAAAATTGGAAATCTATCTATATCAAGAGCCAGCAATGCCACTCTTGGGCATATACCCAAAGGATGCATTCTCATACCATAAGGACATTTTCAATTATGTTCATAGCAATATTG